TTCTCCGATTTTAAGCAAAAAGCCATTTACCAACCAAGTATATGTACTAGTTACTTACCCACAATGGAGCCTCACTATGGGGAAGTCTCAAGACTTGAGCTTAAAATTTTAAACAAAACCTAAATTCATGATGTAGAATGGATGGACTCCTCAACACGCTCAACTTCCAAACAGGGGACTTGAGTGAATGAAGGCAGAGACTGACAAGCAAGAAAAGCCTGCATATTGTGTAACAAATGGCTAAAAAAAGACAACCAGTGGTGTTTCAGGAACAACAAAGGAAAAACTAATTTTAACAAAATAAACAAAGCATCAGGCAATAATATGAAAAAACCCCTTGGGGTCCTCAAAGCATCCAATCCAATTTATTTCTTCTTTAGCCCTTCTTCTCCACTATCTTCTCAATCGTATCTGCAGCTTCCTGCACTTTGGTGATGTTTTCAGAGCTTTCTTCTTCAATACTGATCCCAAATTCCTCTTCCAATCCCATCACAATCTCCACCTGAATTCAAAGGGTTTACGAATACATAAAAGATCCACTGACTGATAAAATAAGAAACAATGAATTAGAAGTTGAGATTCGGCTTTGGGCTTAATTGTTTGAGGTGTTGATCATTGCAATGCTACACCCTAAATTCGTATCCTACCATAGACCACCCCAGAAAGGAAAAAACGAAAGAGTTTGGATAGAAGCTCCGATGCTTACAATATATATACACACACACACGACATTTACATATATTTTCATCAACGCGGACCAAAAAACTTTTTTTTTTTGAAAGATTACGGGGATAAAAAGACTTTCAAATGAATTTTGATGTACCAAATCTTACAAATGAAAATAATAATAATCATAATAATAATAATAATAATAATAATAATAATAATAATAATAATGATAATATTAATAATAATAAATCAAATACCATAAATTAGCCATAACCCATTAAACTTGACAAAATGATCGAAATCGGTGATGTATGATAACATCCTATTCTATGTTTTTTTTTTTTTCTTTCATTCTTTTCTCTCTCGTTTTAAGAATAATTTCATGTTCTGCAAATTTTATTATTTTTTTGGTTGTTATCTACATGATTTGAAGCTTAAAAGACATTTTTGCAATAGGACCACAAAGTCGAAGGGAGATAGAACCCAGATTCCTAGTGTCAAAGATTTAGCCTGCCAAACTAGGCTAGCCAAAAAATCAAACTGTACCTCTTAAGTTAAGATACACTTTGCAGAGGTCTAGAAAGGTCCCAACACCATTAGGTTCTTCCAATTCATACGCAATTCGAGTGGAAGGAAAGTTGGTAAGGCAGTTTTTCCAATTGGAAATATTACCATTTACCTTTCGATTATTATGTAGCCGACCTCAATTAATTGGAAAAAGGATATGATGATGAAGATGACCTTTGGGTTATCATGTGCCAAATGTTTCTTCGCTTGAGTTTCACTTTTCTGTGCAAATTCGAGTCAGTGGGAGCACATTTCTATGGATTTTGTCTCTAGCTTGCCTAGAACAAATTCAGGACATGATAGCATTTGGGTCATTGTGGGCCGACCGACCAAAGCTACCCACTTTCTACCGATTCGTACGACGTACATTTTGGATCGACAGGTCCAGTTGTACATTAAGGAAATAGTGCTGTTGCATGGAGTTTCGGTCAATATTGTATCGGACAGGGATACGCGGTTTACTTCTAAATTTGGGCTAGGCTACAGTCAGCCATAGGGATGAGACTCACCTTTAGCACTGCCTTGCATCCCCAAACTGATGGACAATCGAAGAGGACCATCCAAACCTTGGAAGATATGCTGAGGGCCTGTGTCTTTGACTTTACAGGAAGCTGGGATGATCATTTACCCCTAATTGAGTTTGTTTATAATAATAGCTTACAAGCCAGTATTCAGATGGCACCATATGAAGCCCTGTATAGAAGGAAATGCAGGTCACCCATCTGTTGGGACGATGTTGGTGAAAGAAAGCTTTCGGAGCCAGAAATTGTCCAGGTAATCATAGATAAGATAGCATTAATTCGAGAAAGGCTCAGGACAGCTCAGAGTCGGCAAAAGAGTTATGCCGATAACCGACGGAGAGATCTTGAATTTGGGGAAGGTGATCAAGTTTTCCTAAAGATCTCACCAATAAAAGGCATTATGAGATTCGGCAAGAAAGAAAAGCTGAGCCTACGTTACATCGGACCATTTGAAATCTTGGAAAGAATCGGAGATGTCGCTTATAGACTTACCTTACCACCCGAATTGGCAAACATCCATAATGTCTTCCGTATCGTCACTATGAAAATATCAGCCAAATCCATCTCATATCTTGAAATATGAACCTTTACCGATTAGGAAGGACATCCTTCATTGAGCAGCCAATTTTGATACTAGATAGAAAGGTACAAGTGTTGTGCAACAAGGAAATTCTTTTGGTCTGTATATTATGGCAGTACCATTTAAGAGAGGAATGATGATATCAAAGAAAAATATCATTATCTTTTTCAGTAATCAGGTACACAAATTTAGATGACTAAATTTCTTTAAGGGAAGAAGAATGTAACAATCCTAAACTTTCAAAAAAAAAAAAACTTTTAATAAGTGATGGTCCATATAAGTATGATGGTCCTTAGGGACCATCACTACTTTTGATTAACCTTTCCTTTCATTACCACGTCCTTTAGTCGATATGGGCTTTAAAAGCTCAGGTGTAATATAATTGTTACACCTCATGTATGAAGTGTAACTTAATAAAATAATATAATAAAATATCTTAAGAATTTAAATAGGAGAGACAAGGACTCCCACCCAAGAAAATTTTCGAGATCTTTCTCTCTCTAGTTGAAACGCAGTGAGCTCTTTCTTTCTAACCGAATTTTTATCGGAAGCTCCTTCTCAAATATTTTAGGTAAGTGACTTCATTATCTTGAAAAATGATCCGTTCTTTTTAAAAATGAAATGAAACAATTACTTCCGTTTATTATCATGAATTTTAAGCGCGATAAATTTTATGCGCAAGCTACCTCATTATTTTGAAAAATAATCTTTTCAATAAAATTGTGATATTTTATCTATGTTAGAAATCTTAAATGCTGTAAATTCTTAGAAAAATAAATTTATTTATTTTTTTTGTCTATTGTTGGAAAATTTTAGATACTGTAAAATTATTAAAAATAAATGTGATATTTCTGCTTTTAGTAAAATTGTGAGATTTCTTTCTACTGTTTTGAATATTTAGACATTATAAATTTCATATGCAAATGACTGCCTTATTATTTGAAAACTGATATTTTTACAATTAATTATAGGATTGTCTGTGAAATGTTTATTTGCGAATTGACATCCCATAAATTGTGATAATTCCGTATTCTTGAATTTCTATAAGAGTTTTTCTATACATATTAGATTGGCAATTATGCTAAAATGTCTTTACGAACTACTACCTTTCTAAATTTGAGCCCAAAATATTTGACTGGTTACTTTTGAAATATTATTGAAAGTGACTGTTATTAATGGTTTCAGTGAAATTCATATTAATAATTTCAGTGATATGTTGAGTACATGATATTGCTGTTTTCGAATGTTTAAAGATATGTAAAAATACTTTAAGTATGCAAGTGGACTCATCCAGTTCGCCGGTGAGGTATAAGTGGACCTATCCGGTACGCCGGTTGAGATTAAGTGGACTCATCCGGTACGCCGGTAAGGTATAAATGGACCTGTAGGGATTAAGTGGACCCATCAGAACGCTGATGGGGTATATATGTGACTTTCTTGGGACGTCAGTAGGGTAATTTATAAAATCCCTTGAATTATGCACTGCCGTTAAAATGTTATATGCATTTCAATTATTCGGATTATACTTAATTATGCATTCTTGAAAGTTAAACTGTTAATGCATTTCTGTTAATAGATCTCTTTTTTTTAAATATTGATATCTTTCAATCATGATTATTTTTAGAATTATGATGATTACTTACTGAGTAGCCAAACTCATCAAACTATAGTAAACATTTTTTTCAAGATAACTGCGATTTCATTTTGAGTGCTCGTCAAAATCAACTTTGAAAGATATTATAGTTGTGCTTAAACTTTCTTTTGTTACTTTGTAAGAATTCGCCTCTGTAAATTTGTCTTATCAAGAGATGTATATATGTTTTGACCGTCACATCTCAAGAATATCAGTATTATAAATTCTTAGCGCAAGACATGACAACTTCAAAAATCCCTCGAAATAGGTTGTTGTGGTGTTGAAAAAATATATAATTGATCATCTCGAAGATATAAATATGATAAAAAGAAAAAAAATTAAGTCGTAAAAATAATATATCTTGCAACATATTATCTGGATCATCTATTTATAAGATTCTCATGTTGTTTACATATCTTATGGGTTTGAACGATTTTTTAGAATTTAAAATATTATAATTAGATATAAAAATAGATTTTCACACAACCCTAAGAGCTTTTTATGCCACAATTGAATCTTGTAACTCAGTTTGGAGGTGCTCCTTTGCTTAAGGTTGCAACCTTATGCAAACAGGGTATCAACCTTATGCAAACCCCACCCTTTTTAATATAATATTTTAAAAAGATTTCCATAAATTCACCTAAATTTGTTTTGGGATACCTAAATTTGTTTTGGGATACCTTCATATGCACGATATACCAACCATTTGCCAGTCCACTCAAGGTCATGTTCAAACGAGTAATGGATTTTTCTCTTCTCCAATTTTAAGAAAAAACCATTTACCAACCAAGCTTATACTATTTAGTATTTATAACCCCTGATGGAGCCTCACTATGGGGAATTTCAATGGTCTCAAAACTTCAGCTCTAAATTTTAAACAAAACCTAATTCATGATATAGAATGGATGGTCGCCGACTTAGTGAGTCAGATCACCAACTTCGGGGAATCGGATCACCTTCATGAGTCAGATCATCACTCATGAACACGCCTAACTTTAACCAGGGACTTTGAACGAATGAAGGCAGAGAATGACAAGCAAGAAAAGCCTACATATGGTGTAACAATGGCTGAAAAATATAACCAGTGTTTCAGGAACAACAAATGAAAAACCAACTTCAACAAAATAAACAAAGCATCAGGCAATAATATGGAAAAAACCCCTTCGGCTCCATAAACAGTCAACAAGAAAAGGAAAGAAAAGAGACCTCAAAGCAATCAATTCAACTTATTTCTTCTTTAGCCCGACTTCTTTTCCACGAGCTTCTCAATCATATCTGCAGCTTCCTGCACTGTGGTGATGCTTTGAGAGCTTTCTTCTTCAACACTGATCCCAAATTCCTCTTCCAATCCCATCACGATCTCCACCTGAATTCAAATGTTTTACTATTACATAAAAGATCCACTGACTGATAAAATAAGAAACGATGCATTAGAAGTTGAGATTCAGCTTTGGGCTTAATTGTTTTGAGGTGTAGACCATCGCAACACTACACCCGAGATTCATACCCCACCACTCGACCACCCCAAAAAAAATAAAAAAATAAAGAGTTAGAAAGAAGCTCCAATCTTTACAATAAAAAATTGACACGCATACATTGAATAAATACACACATAATATATTAAAACATACATGCAAGTACACATTAATTCCCAAGTAAGAACATGCTTTCATGTATCCACATGCATGTATGAACACACACGTATGAAAACACGCAAGTTCACTAAGCCCCATTCAAAAGTCCATTTTTTGAGTCATGGGAATAAAATTCCGTAGTTGCAACTGAATAGGAGGTGTGCCACCTTGGCACGCGCTATTCAAGAGCTAGGAATGTAACCATGCTATTTGGCAAATCACCACCCATAGAGAGGCTTTTCCAATAGGTGTTGGCAAAAACTAGGGTATTGTTACAGGTCTATGAGCATTGAAGTGTGCCTAAATTCATGACTGTTCATAAAAGCAGGTAAACATAAGGCTCTAACATGACTAGCAAGATGCCCAAACGGGGCCTAAATCTAGCTTATAGAGCACTCAATTACACTTGATAGTGCAAAACAATGTATAACAAAAAGAAAGGAGAGTAGCAAAGAAACAGTATATATACCGTGTCGAGGGAATCGGCACCGAGAGAAGCAAACTTCGACTCTGGCGAGACAGGAGTATCATCGGATAGGGCTAGTTGTTTTTTCACGATTTCACACACCTTTTGTACTGTTTCTGGCTTGGCCTGTCCACGTGATTAGGAAGCCTTGGTCTCATTAGACAAGCAAGATCACAACCAAGACACCATAAATGACAATTATGAAAACACAAAATTAAGAGAAGGATTAGTATATTATAGTCCGATCGACTAGGGTATTCCAAAGGGTATCCTATTGTACAATAGTCCAATGGACTACAGTACTCCAAAGGGGCATCCTCAGTACGTTCTTGGTGACAACTTCGGATTAACCATGGTGAGGCCCACCTAGCATGCATCCAGGTACAGTTAATATCCACCATCATTTGATGAAAACAATAGTGATTGGCACTTTGGAGCACTGCAAATCATATACCATTGGATTATAGCGTACTTCCCCTTGATGGAGAAGCATGGGTTAATAGAAGCACATATGATTTAAATATGAAAGAATAAAGATTTGACAAAAATGATGGAGAACATACAGCGCAATGAACTCGGAATCTCTGGGGAGAGGCACGGAGGGACTGAAATGTACTCCCACGAGCGCACAGTGAGAAAGGTTTCAGAGAAGATTGCCTGCCAGTTGCCTGTTAAAAAGTTCCAAGGAAGCATACATTTTAATGATCCTGGATTCAAAAAAAGGCCCTCAATGTATGTGTACACGTGTGTCTCCGGCACATAACCCTATGGCGCATGCACATACGCATGCGCACGCACATACAAACATGCACATGCACAATTCAAAGTAGTTCAAATTGAGTATAAGCATATAAGCAGAAAGAAATGGTTTTGCTTGTATACCATGTCTCAACAGTCAACATAAAGGTTCATAAAAAGTACAAATCTATGGAATCAAGAGAAAATCAATGCAGTGGACAAAACATAAGAATGTGTAAGGCTTCTCCTAAATTGACAAGAAAATAAGACTTGATTGATAACATAAGCAGAGTGCTCACGACACACAGCGCCATGGGCAGTCCTCTAACTAACAAGTTCATAAGAAGTCGTGGGTGATGACCACCAATGGTCTAGTTAGGAAAAAAGGGTTTTCCAAAACTGCTACAAAGAAGACCAATATTTTCAGTAGTACTGCAACAATCCAGTCCTTTTAATAGGTCATAATCAAGCTAATAAACACCAGGACAATAATTTTATTTGCACATGTCAAAAAGCTATGAAGTTAGTATCTAGTGTTATGATCCATGAGGCCACTTCATGTCAAACAATTTTCCCAGGTATATGTTCTCCCTGAACCCTAATCTCTGAAATTCATAACAATATCTTGACATCTCATTCATTCCTTAAGAAACACAGAATCACTAGTTTAAACTTTGCTTTCAGGGCAAAAAATTAAGGAGCCCCATTCATCAGAAGCATAGTAAAAAGGAACACCCTGATGGCAGAGACACATAGCCTCAAATAAAATAATAGGTTCTCTAACTGTAGGTGATCCTTCTCTATCGCCTGGTACTTTTTTAGCATCTACATGCTCATATCGTTTATACTTTATGCCATTAGGTTGACCTCCATTTCATGATTCTATTTCAACAACCAGAATCTTTTAAACAGAAAAAAGGATCCAAGTCCGCTGTGGTAGGTAAATTCTCATGATTCTATTTCAACAACCAGAATCTTTTAAACAGAAAAAAGGATCCAAGTCTGCTGTGGTAGGTAAATTCTGGTCAACCACATGAAATTCATTTCTTATCGTCCGCTGTGGTAGGTAAATTCTGATCAACCACATGAAATTCATTTCTTATTACCAGTTCTCTGTTCCCATGTTTTATTTTTCAAATTTTTATGTCATGGAGATCTGAATCTATATGTAATCACCCATAAGATCGTCAAGCAATTCCAAACCTAAGATTTCAGGTAAAATCAACACATTAATCAGAGTTCAGAATAATCAGATTTTTAGACTAACCCCAAATTTTATCACCCACATAGTCCAAAGAAATCATAAAAATATAGACAAAAGTACTAAAAATACACTTCCAAAGTTTAAATAAAAAAATTTAAAATTTTTGCAAACTAAACACAAATTCCTGACGCTCGCTAATCCATTGGGACGCATCAAACATTCCATCACAAATTTCTGGAAAAAAAAAAAGTGAGAGAGAGGGGGAGGGTGAGAGAGAGATCACTGAGTACATTGGCCGAGCCCCTCGTGTTGCCTGCAGCATTTGAGTTACTGAGTGGCATCTAAAGTACAGCTAAGATTTGTAATTATACCACTAATATCACTGGCATAAATTGGAAAGAGACAGGGTTTCGCTTTCTCCAAAAAAAAAACATTAAAAAAAAGGAAAGAAAGAAAAAGAAAGAGAATGAGAGAGAGTGAGATGACTCATCAATGCCCTCAATCAACACCAATTGACCTCCATCACTCCATTTTTTTTTCAAAATATGGCATAAAATCTCCATTCTCCTCACATAGAATTAAACCACATTTCCTCAATCATCCCATTCAACTTTTTCCTGGTTAAATAGTTTTATATCAATGTGAGACTACCTAAGGTCACATTACTCCATAGAAGGTAGGTTGGTTGAACAAGTTTTATCAATCAAAGTGAGGAAATCAAAACCCCAACAAAACTCAGGCGAAGTTCAAGTTTAATGGTTCAGGCAAATCCAATAGGATAACACTTTCAAAGATATTGACCCCTTGTAATCTAATAATCTCTTGTTTCCAATTCCTCCAAGTCAATCCATACCGATATATGTAATGGGACATGAGATGGTAGGCAAATTGAAAATAGACAGGAAAAAAAGGGAAGTGTTGCATTCTCCCTCTTCTGCTTCAAAGACTTTGACTCCATCAATAATTTACTAACTGTACACCAGAAATAAGAGAGTATGCATTCATCAAATCAAATCTAACACCTGTGGCCAATACATACTGTACAAGTATATATATGCTCATGTGCATTTTACATCACATGTTTCATACACATGGGAACATGCATGCACATGCACATACATAGTCGACCATAACTCCATCATTCTCCCACCAAATCAATAGAATTTTAGCAATTGCAATTGCAATCTCATTAGATATAATCTCAAATGGAGATAGTGTCATGCCTCCAATGCATGACACTCGATGCCATAGCATACAAGCATGCAGCCTCTACTCCTGTTCTTTCCCATGAAAATTAACATTCATGAACAATCCATATTCAAGTTATCACAGACAAAAAATCAATACCATGGGCACGAAAAAAAAATCAAATCGCTATATAAAGTCCACCTTTTTCTTTTTAAAAGTTACCCAAAGTTCACAGGAAAATAACACTGAATCTGAAAATAAACAGATCCACCGTTAAATAGTAGCTGGACCTCAAAAAAAAAAAAAAAATTGCTACAAATTTGCAAAGACTGTCAGGTGAAGAGAAACCTGGTTAAACTGACGAGACTGTGTATAGATAGTAGAGAAACTGAGAGAATTTGCAGAGTAAGCCGCCATTGCTATGAGAGAATTTGCAGAGAAGAGAGAAGAGTAAATGATTAGGGTTCTCGGCCGTAGAGAGAGAACAATAGCGTCTGAGCAAACAGGGATGGAAAATGAAAGGCACGGAGGATGTGAAGCCTGATATCATGCACTTCTAAAATCTCAAAAAGACAAGACACCCTTAACATCTTCGTAAACGCCAAAAGGAACCCAAACATCGCACGTGTGTTTTTTCTAAGGGTGCGGTTCAAATTGGAGCCTACCTTCAAATGGTATAGGGAAATGTGGTTTCAATATTGAAAATATGTGTGATAGCTTTAAAATAGTTTTTTATAAAGTTAAAAGTTTCAAAAATAGTGTAGATCGACAGATCTATGAAAACTTGAAAATCTTGAAAATTGACGATCCAAAAATGCTTTTCAAAATACATTATTTCCCAAACTTGAAATCCATTTTTTTCTCGTGTCCATGCTTCTTGAGGTCAAGATGATCAATTTGAAGATATTTGAGCATCAAAACAATCTTTTTTAGTGAAAATTTTGAGATAGACTCAAATTTGATTGTTTAGAGCTTGGACTCTATATAAACTCTTCCCTTTATTTAAGGGGTACAGTTTGTATAGAACCTAGGCTCTAAACAATCAAATTAGATCTCACCTTCAAACACTATAAAAAAAAATACGGTTTCAATACTGAAAATCTTTGTGATAGCTGTAAAATATATTTTCATCTTTAAATATAAAATTTAAAGTTTAAAAAATAGTGTAGAATGAGTAGATATATGAAAACTTAAAACTCTAGAAAATTAACGGTCCGAAACTTGAAATCCATTTTTTCTCATGTCTGTGCATCTTGATGTCAAGATGATCAATTTGATGGTATTCGGGCATCAAAACAATGACTTCGAGCGAAATTTTTGAGGTGGGCTCTAATTTGATTGTTTAGAGCCTCCGCTCTACATAAGACTTTTCCTCTATTTAATTTTTGTATTTTAAAAAGTTTTAGGAAATTTTTTTTTTTTTCTTTTTCTTACAGGACTAATGAATATTATTAGAAATAAAAAATGATTACAATTGAATTAAAATAACAAAACATATACGAATCCAACAATACTCCTTTCTTGGCTAAATCATCAGCAGTGGAATTTGCTTCTCTGTAGACGTGATGAAAGGCAACAAGAACATCCGAAGATAACTCAATTACTTTGTATAATATGGTTAAAAGCCACCAATGAAGTCTTGACATACCTTTACACCAATTAATGACATTGTGAGAGTCTCTTCCAATTATCATATTATTCGGCATATATTTATCCCTATAGATCAGCAATCCTCGTAACAAATATTCAAATCCGCATGATTAGCAGATACCTCTCCACAAGGCCCATCATAACAAATTTATCTGACTTTCATGATTGCGACAAATACCCCCAACTCCTAAAGGTCCAGGATTTGCAAAAGAAGAGCCATCAAATTTTAATTTCATACAATCCATTGTTGATAGATTCCAAACATATCGTGGCTTCACCTTAATATATCTTTGCAAAACTAATTTATCAAAATTTTGTTCAACATCACTCCTATAAATCCCCCAACCCACATTTGAAATGCTTAACCAACTCCACAAAAAAAAAATTGCTTTTTAATTCATCAATTCCAATAGCCACGACCTCAAAGGTATGCCTATTCCTTTTCAACCATAATTCCCATATAATAGCACTCTCAATATATCCCACAACAAACTACATATCTTTGGAAGCCCAGGAATCTTCATATGACAAATTAAGAAGTTAACCGAATAAGGGATGGTAAAGTTTTAGGGAAGTTTATAAAAATTAAAGTTTAAAAACTTAGATTCGGCCCTGCATGAGTTGAATAACTTGGGTGAGCGTGACTCGAGTGTTGTTGAACTCGCCCCAGTAGTGTGCATGGGCTCAAGGTGCCTAAAAATTGAAAAATTGAGAAAATTTGCTATATATTAAGTAAAATAGGAAAAAGCATGTGGAAATAAAAGCAACATTTAAAAAACCAAACAGCTAAAAAATATATAAAATTAATACTCTAATTTTTTTTTTATGGAGATATTTTAAAGGACAATGTAAAGATAAGGCATATAGCAAAAAGAACTCACAGATTATCATCAAATTTTGAAATTATATATAGGGTGCAGTTTGCATACGGACACATCTGTAGGTGTAGAGGTAAGGTGCACTTTCAAATTTTATCATGGTACATAATTTTGATGTAAAATGTTCTTAGGATTATCTCAAAATCTATTTTTGTATCTAATTATAAAATTTTAAATTTAAAAAATGGTTAAAATCCAGTAGATCTATAAACATATGAAAAACTTGAAAATGGACGGTGTAGATAATATGTTGTAAAATGCATTATTTTTAGACTTAAAATCCTTTTATTTTTCATAGTCATACATCTCGATGTTGAGATGATCAATCAAAGGATTTTTCAATATTAAAACTACCTGTTTCGATAGAGTTTTGAGGGGCATCCGTGGTTCTACATTATAAGGTACCATCCTTAAATAAACTGTTTCCTTATATATAACATGATTATACAAATTAATACGAGTGCTTTATACTTTATTATTTTATTATTTCCCCGACTTTTACCCGAGTATTTGGCTCGGCAATAGTCGAGTCCGAGTAACTAAGCTGGGTTTGGGCATGATTTTCGGTTCATATCAAAATACGCCTAAAATTATTATAATGCCTGGTAGAAAATACTTGGAGACCATTTGGTCATTCTTACAACCTAAGGATATTTGTTGCGACCCAGCCACAAATTTTGCATTGAACACCTCGTCATACGTATTCCGTTAGTATTTCATTGGATTTTGCTGTGCATGTTCACGTGCTGCAAGTGCACTGCCGGTGGGAAGGAAATGGGCGGTTTGGATTCCCTCACGCCGTGCGGTGGTTAAGATCGCAACCCTTTAATTTGCTAATGTTGCTTTCCGTTGTCTTCATTTAAATGCACCGTTGTTTTGAAAAACTCTAAATTGTTGATTTAGAAGCGAATCGATCAGAACCGAACTGGTTTTGAGATGCTTCGTGTACCCGCCTGATTGCCTCTCATGCCTTTCTTTATTTTTTATTTTTTTAAAACTTATTTAATGTTCTTTTAGATCCATTTAAATCCCCATCTTAGATCTCTATTTTAAAATTCAAAATATTGTACATAAATATCCGTTTTAGTTTATGTTATTACCAAAATACCGAATGTTTTCTGTTGTTATTGATATGTCCGTTTTTTTAATTTCATGACAAGTTTTTTTAAAAAATATGAAACTACTTATTTTTATTTTTTTATAAACCGAAATCAGATCAATTTTGATTTTAAAAAACATTTCGAGTTTTCAATAACCCAAACTTTTTCTTTCTTGTAGGTCCTCTACGTATTCTCTCTGTACCTTTCCCTCTATTCATAGAGTATCATGAAAAAAAAGGGATTTCGATGGGGCTGGTCTGCTTTCTCTCACTAAAACATCCACTCTCCATAGATTTGCAGAGAGCATATGAAGAGGGGTTTTAATGGGATGGTGAGATAGTGGTCCCATGGGATATAGCCGCATAGGGTGCCCCATACGGTGTCATGAAGAGAAAGTAGATTGAGTAATTCGAGTAAAAAAATAAATAGAGGAAACCATGAAACAGTTTGGTTTTGCTACAAGAGCACACCCGGCTAAACTATCAATCTTTGAGCTTTTCTCTGCAAAATTTAGCTCCCAAATTGTTTGATCTCCCAATTTTAATCTAAATTTAATTCTTTCTTTTAAATCTTTCAAATTGTATGATTTTCATTTTAAATTCTATGTCTTCTTTCAAATATTTCAAATTGTATGATCTTCGTTAGAGTTCATAGGTTATTAAATGAAGAAGTAGAGAGGGAGAGACGGTAGCAAGTCGTATGATTTTGGTAATGGTTATTGAAAAAATCGAAAATTTAAAAATTATGGTTCTTGAAAAACAAATTTTTAGCTTTTTAAAAACCGAAATTAGCCTCATTTCAATATTTGAAAAACCGTTTTTTTTTTAAATAATTATTATGAAGTCAAAAAAACAAACATATTAGTAATGACAGAAAGTATTTGGTATTTTGTTAATAACATAAACCAAAACGGATATTTACATGATTTTTCCTGAAACTTTTTTTATGTTGTTTATTTTAATTTTTTTAGATCACTAATTCAGACCAATGTATATTTGATCCGAATTGCTGATCCAACAATCGCACACTGATATATAGATGAACAATCCACCCCATTGATCTGGGTGTTGAAACATTAGAGTTTAAACATTAGAGGTCACTCATGTGTTGAACTCGGTCACTCTTTATCCATTACCGTCCCATTGAAGGGACAGTAGAGGAACCGGAGATTATGCATTTGTATAGTGCATTTATATAGTGATAGTACAACTTTCCTTTCCTATTTTAATTAGGAATATTTTGGGCTTTTTGGATCACACTGAATGGTTTGGTATAAGAAAAAAAGTTTATATAAGGATTCAACCTTATAATTTAGAACTACGGATGTACCTCAAAAATCCATCGGAAAAGGTAGTTTTAATGCTGAAAAACCCTTTGATTGATCATCTCGACATCGAGATGTATGACCATGAAAAATAAAAAGATTTTAAGCCTCATAAATAGTGCATTTTACAACATATTATCTACACCATCAATTTTCAAGATTTTCATATGTTTATAGATCTACTTGATTTTAACATTTTTTGTAATTTAAAATTTTATCATTAGATATAAAAATAGATTTTGAGATAATCCTATGAACATTTTACATCAAAATTATATACCATGATAAAACTTGAAGGTGCATCTTACCTCTACAGCTACAGATGCATTTGTATGCCAACTGCACCTTTGGAATAATGCATCTTTATTGAGTTTATTTGGTCTTTGTTGAAAGAGGGGGGAGAAAAGGGGGGGATGCGATGTTTCTCTCGAAGCCTCGAGGGCAAGCCCCTTGAAAAAGATTACGATTCATAATGATGGTGTTAATGAAAAAAAAGAAAAGAAAATAATATTTCCTCTAGTTTTTCTTAACATAAATATTTGTTTTCTAAATGACGAAACTTTG